GCTTCTTTTGGTGCACTTAGATGCATCATGTAATCTTCCATTTTCTTTCTTTCATCTAGAGATGACAACTTCTTATAAACTGTCTAATCTGGACTGGTTGCTTTCTCTTTTTAAAAAAATATTTTTTTACTGATTTCAGAGAGGAAGGGAGAGGGAGAGATAGAAACATCAATGATGAGAGACTCGTTTATCAGCTGCCTCCTGCATGCCCCCCACTGGGGATTGAGCTCACAACCTAGGCATGTGCCTTGACCGGGAATCGAACTGTGACCTCTTAGTTCATAGGTCGATGCTCAATCACTGAACCACGCCGGCTGGGCTGGACTGGTTGCTTTCTAAACTATTGCCCCATAATGCCTTGGGACTTCTTTTCATCCCCATTCTAGGAATTCCTTTTGCCTTTCCCATGTGAATACATAGGATCCTGCATCTTTTCATTTACTTCCCTGGAGCACATTTTTTTCAGCAGCTTCCTGAGAGAGTTTCGGAAGCAACGTTTTTGAGACTTTGGAAATCTGAAAATATCATTGTTTTCCTGTCATGCTTGATTGATATTTTTCTTGGTTATAGCATTCTAGATTGGAAATAATTTTATCTGAAATTTGAAAGAATTGCATTGTCTTCTCGAATTCAGTATTGCTGTTGGGAAATCTGATGACATTCTGACTCCTGTTCTTTGTAAATGTGACTGGATGCTTGTATACTCTTTATCCCCATGTTATCAAATTCCATGCCATTGTGCCTTAGTGTGCTTCTTTTCCCATTTATTGTTCTGGGCAATTGGGTCCTTTCTGTCTAGAAGTGTATTCCATTTCAGCTTAAATTTTCTTTTATGATTTTTTTTTCGCTTTTCTATTTCTGGACTTACAATAGTCAGATATTGGACATTTTAAATGAATCCACTGTTTTAAGAAAACTTTTTCTCTCCTACTTGCCTACTCTAGACATTATGAATAATCCTGCTATGAACATTCATGTACAAGTTTTTGTGTGGATACATGTTTTTAATTCTTTTGGATATATACTTAGAAATGGAATTGCTGGGTCTTATGGTAATTCTATGTTTAACTTTTAAAAATATATATTTTTATTGATTTCAGAGGAAAGGAGAGGGAAAGAGAGATAGAAACATCAATGATGAGAGAGAATCATAGATCGGCTGCCTCCTGCAAGTTCCACACTGGGGACGGAGCCAGCAACCCAACTGGGAATCGAACTGTGACCTCCTGGTTCATAGGTCAATGCTCAACCACTGAGCCACGCCACCGGCTGGGCTTGTTTTTTTGTTTGTTTGTTTGTTTTTAAGTGCTCTCTCTAGATAATTCAAATGTGCGGAAAGAATTGAGATCCAATGCTCCAAGGCATTTCATATTTCATTAAAGTTAATTCTTCCTAACAGGATAAATTCGAATGCATCTCTTATGGCTATCTTTTTCCTCCTCCTTCATTGCCCTCCAGCCACCCTAACCCTGTTTTGTTCCTTATATTTCCAAGATATGCTAGTATCTCAGGAGATTTTGCTCTTGCCCTTTTATCTGCCTGAAGTGTTTTTCCACAGATATCCTCAGTTCCCTTCTTGAACTTCTTCAATCTTTGCCTCAAAAGTTACCTTCTCGCCCTAGCTGGTTTGGCTCAGTGAATAGAACATCGGCCTGCGGACTGAAGGGTCCCCCGTTCGATTCTATTCCTGATGTTTCTCTCTCTCTCTCTCTCTCTCTCTCTCTCTCTCTCTCTCTCTCTCTCTCTCTCTCTCTCTCTCTCTCTCTCTCTCTCTCTCTCTCTCTTCCTCTCTGAAATCAATTTAAAAATATATTTAAAAATAAAGTTACCGTCTCAATGAAACTTCTTGTCCATAACTTAAAATTTCTATTTCCAACCCTCAGCCCAAATTCCTGTCCTCCTTCAATGCTTTGTTTTTCTTCTGCTTCTCACCTGTATTGTTAGTCCTCTTATTTGTTTTCTATTTGGCAACCCTTCTCAGCACACGCCCTTTCCCTATGTGTCAATCTAGTGTGTAAAGAAGCCAGTGGGTGGAGCTTCATTCATTTCTTCTCCCCTGCTCTTCTTTTCTGTGTGTAGATACAAGTTTCTGACCCATATCACTTTCCATTTCCCGGGAGAACTTTTAAACATTTCTTGCAGAGCAGGCTTTGTTTGAGAAAGTCTTTTTTGTTGTTGTTGTTTTCTCCTTCGCTTTTGAAGGATAACCTCATTGGATACACAAATTCCAGGTTGGCGTTATTTTTTCTTTCAACACTATAAATATTTCACTGCACTTTCTTCTTGCTTCACAAGAAGGCTGCTGTGATCTGTATCCTTATTTCTCTATAGGTAAAGTGTTTTCTCCCCTCTGCTTTCTTTCAAAATTTTCTCTTTGTCTTTGGTATGTCCAGGTGTAATTTTTTATATTTTTTTTAGAAATTATTTGTTGTTTTGGGATTTATTCTGTTTGATGTTCTCTGAGTTTTCTGGATATGTGGTTTGGTATATGTCATTACTTTTGCAAAGTTCTTGGCTATCGATACTTCACATATTCTGCTCTGTTTTTTCTCCGTTTGATATTTTAATTATGTGTATTTTGCATCTTTTGAAGTTGTCCCAAAATTCTTGGATGTTCTGTTGTTTTTATAAAGTATTTTTTCCTCTGTATGTTTCAGTTTGGGAGTTTCTATTACATATCTTCAAGCTCACTGATTCTTTCCTTAACCATGTCTAGTATACTGATGAGCCAGCCCATTGAAGCATTCTTCATTTATGTTACATTAGTTTGGATTTCTAGAATTTTCTTTTGAATCTTTCTTATGTTACCCTTCTGTTCATGGGTGTTGTCTACCTTTTTCATTAATGCCCTTAACGTATTAATCAGTTATTTTATTTATTTTTATTTATTTATTTTTAATCAGTTATTTTAAATTCTCTATCTGATAATTCCAAAATCTATATCATATCTAAGTCTGATTTTGATGTTTGTGTTGTCTCTTCACACTGTTTTTTCTTGCCTTTTAGCATAACTTTTATTTTTTTAATTAAAAGCCAGACATGACGTATTAGGTAATAGGAATGGAGGTTTATGCTAACTCAGATTATTTGAAGTGATTTGGATGCAAACACTTCCCATTGCTATTGCCAGGGGGAAAATTACTTCAGCAGTGTACAGTTTTGCTGGGCTAGATGCTGTGTAATGCCTGTGTTTTTTTTCCTTACATGGTTTGGAAAGGTTTTACAGTTCAAGATACCTACCTTGTAACGTCAGATTGGTTTCTTGCTAATTGGATCTGGAAAGACAAACATAGCCCCACAGAATCGCCTAGATTACGATGAGTAAACTGTGGACTCTATGAAAGACACTGGAGAAGGAACACAAGGTGGTGTCACTGCTCTGTTTCTACTGCTTTCCCAGTTCGCTTCGTTCTGAGCCTTCTTTGGAATTTACCTGGTTGATGTTGTTTTCGGGCCATGAAGGCTATAGATCACGAGGTTCGGTCTTTTCCCCACTTGGTGGGCCACGTGGAGCCTTCAAGTTTTATTCTCCAGGATTCTCTCGAGTTTGGAACAAAAGCTCAGGGAGAACAAGCGAGTTTAAAAACCGCTCTCAGTCAAGTCGCCTCAGGAAAGAAAGAGTCCCGGTGGATGTGAAGATTTTAAAGATTCTTTTATTTTTAAAGTCTATAAATAATGGATTCCCAGCCTTTCGTACCTTAACCTCAGTTACTAAAAGCCCCCAGGCTTAATGTAGAATCATTAATCTTTCCTTCATTACTCAAGATAAGATCCTTTTTTTCCCCTTAAAATTATTGTTAAATTATGTAAAAGATCAAACATATGAAATGGTTCAGAGAATAGATAACAAACAGTCATAAAAACTACCATCTGGATTTAATGGATATTAACATTTTGCCATATTTGCTTCAGAACTTTTTTCATTAACAGATAAAATGCTGCAGATACAGTTGAAGTTCCCTTGGTCTCTCCTCACTCCAATTCCCCTGCTCCATCCTTCGCTTTCCCTGCTCCTCCAACTTCTGTCTAAATCAGCGGTTCTCAACCTGTGGGTCGCGACCCCTTTGGGGGTTAAACGACCCTTTCACAGGGGTTGCCTAAGACCATCGGAAAACACATATATAATTACATATTGTTTTTGTGATTAATCACTATGCTTTAATTATGTTCAATTTGTAACAATGAAATTGGGGGTCACCACAACATGAGGAACTGTATTAAAGGGTCGCAGCATTAGGAAGGTTGAGAACCATTGGTCTAAATGGTGGGGTTCCTTCCCCTCCATGCTTCTATACTTTCATTCCATTTATGCGTGTCCACAAGAATATATGAAATTGTTTTGTGTAAGTTCAAGTGTTATGCAATGGTATCATACTATATTTAGGCTGCCATTTGCTTATTTATTTATTTTTATTTATTTAAAAATATTTTTTTATTGATTTCAGAGAGGAAGGGAGAGAGAGTGGGAGATAGAAACATTAATGATGAGAGAGAATCATTGATTGGCTGCCTCCTGCATGCCCCACAGTGGGAATGGATCCTGCAACCCGGGCATGTGCCCTGACCAGAAATTGAACCATGCCCTCCTGGTTCATAGGTCAACACTCAACCACTGAGCCACACCAGCTGGGCCATGAAATACCATTTTTATTAAAAACAAAACAAAAACAGACCTACTAAAGTTACTAGATTTGAGTATTTGGCAGTATTTTATTGAAAATGAACGAAGTGAGTCTGTCACTTCAGGGAAAACAACTGACAATATCTGTTGCCAATGATAAAATATGAGTTTTTAAGTGAAAATTAGAATTTTGGAACACTTATATCTACCCCAAGAGCTGACAGCTTCCCAGTACTTAAAGATTACTGGCGACATTCACAAATGTGATTTTTTTAATATTGTACAATGAAATGAACACAATTTTATAATGTATAATGACATTTGGAATATCTGCATAACTCAATGAACCAATATTTTCCAAGTGATAGTTTACAATATTACAGAATTATGTATGAGTAAAAAGATCCATTCAAAGTACAAGATAGACTTCTAGCAAAGATGGAATGACACGGACACCTTATGACTAATGATGTGGAATATCTTTTCATGTGCTTATTGGCCGTTGGTATGTATATCTTCGGAGAACTGTTTATTTAGATCTTTTGCCCATGAAAAATATTGGATGATGAGGGTTATGTTTTGTTGAACTGTGACTTTCTTTTTGGGGATGTTATATTAGGCCCTCCCTTCTCCAGGCTTTGATATAACAGTGTTCTTCTGAAGCTATAAAGACCTATCCAGGTTGAATAGCCATCATAAGACAGACAGACAGACACACCACTCTGCTGGAAATAGCATGGCCACAGATGCTTCAAGGTTTCTGGGTTGTTTTTTTTTGCTCTGTCTCTTTAAACTGGGATATTAAAATTGGGTCCAGTTCCTCAGTCTCTTATCAGATATTCTCTAAACCTACTGCTGTGTTTGTCTTGCAGTTTCCTGGTGATGACATGGCATCTGCCAGCGCCAGCCGGACAGGAGTGGCCCTGCCTTTTGAGAAGTCTCAGCTTACTTTGAAAGGTGAGTGGCACTGTGTGGAGTGTTTGTTAGTCATTTGAGGTCCAGCCCAGTGTGTGGGGAAGAGGTGGGTTTATACCACACTTGGGTCTGGAGAGCCAAAGACTGTGAAAGGCTTAAGAATGTAACTGTTCATTCTCATCGGGTTGTCATAGTGTAGCTGGAATTCTTGAAGAAGGACAAAAGGAACTTTTGGCCAAAATGATCTAAAATGGTGATTCCTGCCCTAGCTGGTTTGTCTCAATGGATAAAGCGTCGGCCTGCGGACTGAAGGGTCCCGGGTTCGATTACGGTCAAGGCACATGCCTGGGTTGCGGGCTCAATCTCCAATAGGGACGGCCGGAGACAGCCAATCAATGATTCTCTCTCATCATTGATGTTTCTATCTCTCTCTCCCTCTCCCTTCCTCTCTGAAATCAATAAAAATGTATTAAAAAAAAAAAAAAAGAAACAGTAGAAAACAAAGCACAGCAAAGCAAACAACTGTTTGAAACCTATTGAAAGACAAAATGCCAGGCTCTATTCTGGTGCCTTCCTAAGAGCTTTTCAAGGGTATAATTTTGGCCATATGTGATTTTTGCCTTATTTGTTGACTTTAAAAATGAAATCCTATGTGAAGATGTGACTCCATGTAGAAGAGACTGGCATTTACATTTCATCACAGTAAATAAACTTTCTAGATAAACTTGCTTGTATCTCGATGCCTTTATTTTAGCTTGTCTTTTAGAAAAAGAAACATGCAACACATCAACCTGCTGCTTAATTATAAATTAGAGGGAAAAATGTTTCTTTACAGTGGAGAGACCTGGCAGACCCCACATTAACCAAGGGATAGCCTCGCTTCCCCAGTAGGGTAACAGGGTGTGTGCATAAGTATACAATGTAACCTATGTAGTATTCTTGACAAAAATGTTCAGTGTGAATCTAATCACGAGGGAAACAATAAAAAAAATGCAGAATTTGGCATATTCTAGATGACAGTCGGTGGAAGTCTTTTAAAGTCATTGTTATGGAAAAAGAAGGGAGAGCATTCCAGCTTTTAAAAGGTTAAGGAGACGCCCTGGCTTGTTTTGCTCAGTGGATAGAGCGTCAGTCTGCGGACTGAAGGGTCCCAGGTTCGATTCTGATCAAGGGCATGTACCTTGGTTGCGGGCACATCCCTGGAGGTGTGTGTGTGTGTGTGTGTGTGTGTGTGTAGGAGGCAGCTGATCAATGTTTCTTTCTCATCGATGTTTCTAACTCTCTATCCCTCTCCCTTCCTCTCTGTAAAAGGAGATCAATAAAACATATTTTAAAAAAAAGCTTAAGGAAACAACAACCAAATGCAGTGTGCTCATCTTGATTGGATCCTGGATTGGGGGGAAGACAGCTATAAAAATATATCTGGAACAATTGAGGAAATTTAGCTATGGAATGAATATTAGAATTGATAAAGCCGGTCACTGAATTTTTTTAGGTATAATGATGGTGGTGTGTTGTTAGGTAGGAAGATGTCTTTATACTTAGGAGTTGCATTCTGAAAAGTATTTAGGGCTGATCTCTCATGATATCTACCATTTACTTTCAAATGGTTTACCAGAAAAAAAGTGTGTAGATATAGATACACAATTATAGACATAGATATCATATATTTATATCCTGTGCAGTCCAATAGGGTAGCCACTATAGCCCCATAGAACTATTTACATTAAAGTAAATTAATTAACTTTACAATTCAAATCCTCAGTCCCACTAGCCATAGTTCAAGTGCTCAATATCCACATGTGTCAGAGGGCAATGCATTGGACAACGCCGAGGTAGAGTATTTTCATTATCACAGAGGTTCTCTTGAGTAGCACTGATATAAACACACACATAGAGGGGAATAAAGCAAGTGTGGCAAAATGATAATTGGTGAAGAGCATACAATTATTCTATTTTTTCAACCTTTCTGTAGATTGGGAACTTCAAAATAACTGCAAACTGTGACTCTAGATTGGAACAGAAAACAATTCCCTTTTGTGCTATAGTGGACTTTGGTAGGACAATTGGCAAAATTTGAATAAGGTCTGTAGATAATAGTATTAAGGAATGCTAAATTTGCACATGTTGATATTTATACTGTGGTTATATTAAAAAATGTCTTTGTTCTTAGAAATACACACTGAAGTATTTAGGAGTAAAGGGTTACAGCATCTACAACTCACTCCCAGAGTTTTAGGGGGAAAAATCTGTATGTGTGTGAGGGAAAGTCAGGGGTGAGAGAGAATAATAAAGCAAATAGATAAAAAGTTAATATTTGGTGACTGGGTAAAAAGTTTATAGGAATTCTTTGTATTGTTCTTGCAATTTTCCTAAAAACTTTGCTGAAATTATGTAAAAATAAAAAAAGGAAAGGTAGAAAAACACCTACGGGGATAAGCTAGAGGACAAAAAAAGGAAACATCATGGCAGATTTAAAAGAATTGGCCTGGGAGCTGGGAGACTTGAATTTAGGTTTAGCTCTGGCTCTGACGAGCGCTAGGATTTTGGATATGTTATTTCACCTCCTTGGATCTTAGTTGGTCAAATGATTAAATAAAGGGTTTGAACTTGTTGATTTCAAAGAAACGGCCTAGCTCAAAATTATAGGACTATAATTAGTCCTTTTTTTTTAAGGGCCTACATGCAGAGCTATTCTTGCACCACCAGGTGGCCTCAGTTAGCCTTGATCAGTGTGTAGAGTATTTCATTTTTCTACCCTGAGACACATTTCCCAGGACCCCAACCTTTTTTCCCTGGTACCACCCCTTTTTGCTCCTGAATCTTAGCCACAACTTTTGATGTTGTTCTTTGAATTTCTCTCTACTCTCCTTTTGGGCCTGAAGAAGAGAGCTATTGCTAAAAACAATCCAGAGGTGGGTGTGTCCTTTGCCAAATTGTGGCCCCTTACAGGACTGTCACCTCTCGGAAGGGTCTGGGAGGGAGAGGTTTGCTACCTCTTGACAGAGGGGAGCTCAGGTTACAACAGTCTTGCCGTCATAGGTAAGGAGTGTCAGTCATATGCTCTTCTCTGGGGCATAGGATTGAAGGCATCTAGATGTGTTTCATCCTAATGACCTGGAGTTCTCGTGGCTAATATATGCTCTCAGAGGAGCTTGCCTGGCCTTGGGCGGATTCTTGCTTAGCTTGTGCTCTCTGAGTCCCTGGCTTGCTGGTGCCAAGTGAACATCAGAAATGCTGCCACATGAAGAGGAAATGCAGATGGTAACAAGCACATGGAAAAAATATTCAGTCTCACTGGTAATTGAAGGAAAGCATTAGAACAAATAAGCAAAGTCTGGTAATGGCACAAAACATGGCGTAGTCAGGCTGCCCAGTTGCACATCCTGGCTCAAAGCTTCCTGGCTCTGTGGCCTGGGGCAGTGACCTGGCTTCCTCAAGCCTGTTTCCTCCTGGTGAAACGGGGTGATGACATATTCCCTGCGGCATGGGTTCGTTGTGAGGATTCAGGTAGATGGTGTGTGCTTAGCATAGTACCTATAAAAAGTACTCAATCCTTAGCTATTATCTTTATGCTATTTTTTTAAACCTGCGATATTTGCAAAGAATGAAAAAACATTGCACTCAGTGTTATACAGTGTTTGGTGAAATGGACATCTTCCTATAGTGCTCGTGGGCATCTACAGATTTACCCTTTTTAGAAAGAAATTAAGCAGTTTTAGGAACTTTTAAAAAAAATGTTCATAGATTTGGGAGGATCCTCAGAAATGCAAGCAAATACTGTATATACATTTATGGTAATTTTCCCAGAGCAAAAAATTAGAAGCAATCTATTCATCAGTGAAAGGGTAGTTAACTAAGTTATGGCATAGTCTTGTAATGGGCTTGTGTTACTGCCTTTAAAATGGATTTTGGGAGGAGAAGAATTTTTAAAGAATTGGGGACATAAAAGTTGAAAGTCTGGAAAGTCTGAATTTACCAACGTCTTGTTTTTAGCTTAGGAGTGATTTTTGGTTCTTATGCTTCATATTTTGTGTGTGTGTGTGTGTGTCCTGACGTTTTTAAAAAGTTTTCTTAAAATCAGGAAAAAAACCAATAATTTATTTTTTGATCGAAACAGCAAAAAAGAGTGTCACCATCTGCCACAGGGGGGCAGCTGGGAGCACTCTGCCTCATCCTTGACTTTTTCTTTCTTTCCTGTCCAGTGGTGTCAGCAAAGCCCAAGGTGCACAATCGCCAACATCGAATTAACTCATTTGTGGAAGTGGCAGTGGATGGACTGCCCAGTGAGACCAAGAAGACTGGGAAGCGAATCGGGAGCTCCGAGCTTCTCTGGAATGAGATCATCATTTTGTAAGAGAACGTCCCTTCTCTTTTGAATGCAGTAACATGGGGGAAAGAGAGAAGGCGCTCCAGGGGGGTTGTGGTGGGAGATCCAGGTGTCCTGTGGAGCCTCTGAGTCTTCTGCCTTTGGTACCCGAGGTGCCTCTCTTTATTAGTAAGTGTTTCCACATCATTGAGCTCACAGAGTGTTCATTATTAGCTAGGTGGTTACAGGGTCAGCTTTGGGGGGTTAGGGGTTATGTGAGCGTCTTCCTGTTGGGGTCCTCCCCGCCCTTCCAAGTTGTCAGCAATACCTGTTTTCTTCTAAGGCAATCAGAGTGATTGATCTGCTTGGATGTGATGAGTCAACTGTTTGTTTTCCAGGAATGTCACGGCCCAGAGTCATTTAGATTTGAAGGTCTGGAGCTGCCATACCTTAAGAAATGAACTGCTAGGCACCGCCTCTGTCAACCTCTCCAATGTCCTGAAGAACAATGGGGGCAAAAGTACGTATGACGAAGGGGTGGCTGATGTGATTCATTTACGTGTGTGGGGAGAAGCATTTGGAGGCATGGTTTTCTCTTTTCCTTCCCGATAAACCTGGTGATGTCGTTTCCTCCAGGCCCAGGGCCTGCAGTGACTCTGCTCCCACGGATGCTGTCCGTGGGGTTTTAGGAAGGCTGAAGGCTTCTTTCTGCAGAACTCGGCCCCTTTTCCAGCAGCTGTAGTGGTGGGATGCAGTGACTTGTCCCCTGGATCCTTCGCAAGGATCAGTGCTTTTCCTCTGCCCCTCTTTCCCCAGTCCAGGAGATGGGACCTGTACAATCAGACTGGCCAGTGCCTCCAGCCTACACATTACTGCCCCAGTCTGAGTCCTGGAACAGAACAAAGGAACTGCTGTGTGCGTGCGTGCGTGTGCGTGTGCATGTGTGTGTGATGTTACAAATATGCCCTGTGCTTAGTAGGCACTCAATAAACATCTGTTGGAAGCTCTAGCGTAATTACTCAGGGTGCCTCTGCTGCATGGAAACCTAAACCCTAACATCTATTTATTGTTGTTTGTGGTCAGTGGCATAACCGTGGCTGTGGTATCCGAACCCTCCCTCATAATGCCTCTATTCAGAGCAGTGCCATATGTGGCGAGGGAGTGCCACAGAAAGAAAGGCTCCTTTTTCTCTTGAAGGCTGCTGTCTAGAAAATATTTTCTGAGAGTGGATTTAGCTTGAGAGAGGTGTGGGGGCAGGGCGTGCTGAGTCCTAGGGAGAGCGCGGCATTGATTCCAGTCCTTTCCTTCCGAGCCTGTCCTTTCTGACGGGCCACTCGGGTGGCGTTTGAGGCTCCCTTGGTCTTTTCCTTTCTGCTTGGCACACAGAGATGTGGAGAACCCACCTGAGCTGTAGGAACTGCTTAAAATCAGGAGTATGTGTCTATTTTAATTCTGTAGGGAACTCGCTGGTGCTCTGTCTTCTGAGTTGGTCTTTATTTTCCGGAACCTTATGCTGCCTTTTATGATTTGTTCTCAAGTGTATTATATCTTTTGGAGATATAATTGTGGGCATTCCCGAATTTGGATCAGCATCCTTTTCTTTCCTTTTTCATTTGTCCAGTCAACATACTTTTGCTTTTGATTATAAAAGTAAATGTAGAAAACCTGGGAATTACAGAAAAGCACACAGATACACAAAGGAAACAAAATGTTCCTGTAAGCACAGCACTTAGTGATAATTATTAACATTTTGATACATACCCTTCTGAGCTTTTTTCCTGTGTGCAAATATATAGTAATACTTAAGACATCAATCAAAATTGAGATAATAAAAGAATAGTATTTTGCAGCATGTATTTCTCTCTTGAAAAGGTATCAATATCTTAATTTATTTTTAATTATAAAATATACATAACATCGAATTTACCATCTTAACCATTCTTTTGTTGTTGTTAATCCTCACCTGAGGATATTTTTTCCCATTGCTTTTCAGAGAGAGCGAAATGGAGGGAGGGAGAAGGGAAAGAAGGAGGGAGAGAGATAAAGAGAGAGAAACATCAATATGAGGGAGACACATGGACTGGTTGCCTCCCACATGTGCCCTGACTAGGGGCAGGGAGCGAACCGCAATCCAGATAGGTGCCCTTGACCAGGGATTGAACCTGCGACCTTTTGGTACACAAGCCAGTGCTGTAACCGCTGAGCAACACCATCCAGGGCTAACCGTTCTTAAATGTAAAGTTCAGTGGCATTAAGTACATTCATATTGTCATGTAGCCATCACTACCATCTGTCTCCAGAACTCTTTCTTCTTCCCAAATGGAAACTCTGTACCCATTAAAAACAGCAACTCCCCTTTTCCTCCCTTTTCTCCACTCCCTATTATTCTACTTTTGGTCTCTATGACTGACTACTTTAGTTACCTCATCTAAGTGGAATCATACAGTATTTCCCTTTTTGTGATAGGCTTATTTCACTTAGCATAATGTCCTCCAGGCTTACTCATGTTGTAGCATATATCAGAATCTCCCTTTTAAAGGCCGAGTAATATTCCATTGTATGAATATACCACATTTTGTTTATTCGTCCATCCAAGGACACTTGGATTTCTTCTACCTTTTGCCTATAACATAGTGCTGTTATGAATATGGGTGCACAAATATCTCTTTAAGTCTTTTCTTTCAATTCTTTTGCATACATACTCAGAAGTAGAATTACTGGATAATGTGTTATTTTCATTTTTGCTTTTTTGAGGAATCACCATACTGTTTTCCATAGCTGCTGCACCATAAAATATATCAAAATAGCTTTAATTTTTCTTCCAAAATTCAGTTGTTTTTTTAAAAAATATTTTTATTGATTTTTTACAGAGAGGAAAGGAGAGGGATAGAGAGTTAGAAACATCGATGAGAGAGAAACATCGACCAGCTGCCTCCTGCACACCTCCCACTGGGGATGTGCCCGCAACCAAGGTACATGCCCTTGACCGGAATCGAACCTGGGACCTTTCAGTCCGCAGGCCGACGCTCCATCCACCGAGCCAAACTGGTCTTGGCCAAAATTCAGTTTTTGATGACTGCCTGGTAGTAGTCTATCAGATGGCTGTATGAAAAACTGAACATTCACAAATCCTATATACTAAAAGGCTAATATGCAAATCGACCGAATGGTGGAACAACTGTTTGCTATGATGAGCGCTGACCACCAGGGGGCAGACACTTGCCATAGGAGCTGCCCCCTGGAGGTCAGTGCACTCCCACAGGGGGAGCACCACTCAGTCAGAAGTCGGGCTGTAAATGGGCGGTAAGGAGCAAGGGTCCCGGACTGCAAGAGGGATGGCTGTCCAGGGGAGATCGGGTCTAAGTCGGTAGGCGGACATCCCCTGAGGGGTCCTGGACTGCGAGAGGGGATTCCCTCCGACCAGTGCACGATTTTCTTGCACTGGGCCACTAGTAATGCTATGATAGACATGAAAGTTTTTAAATCTTTCTGCCCATTGTTTAACATTTACTTGAGATAAATGACTGAAGATTTATTTATTTTTTGCCTATTTGCTAATTAACATTATGTCACGTTTGCTCAATCTCTTTCTTTTTTGGCTGTAGTATTTTCAATAGATGTCTCAGTATTTTATCCCAGATTCTTTAGCATGCATCTCTTAAAAATAGGACATTTTCTTACATAGTTATCATACCATTATCACACCAATCGTATTAACCAATCATGAATTCTTTATTATCACCTATTACCCAGTTTATATTTGATTTTATGATTTGTCTCAAAGTGTTGTTTTAAAATTGGTTTGCTTGAATCTGCATTTGGTTTGGGTCCTCTTGTTGCATTAGGTTGTTATTTCTGTGAAGTCCTCCCACCTTTTCTCTGATTTATTGAAGGTGATTCAGTGTTTTAAAATATGCTTATTGCCTTATCCTTTATTCATTTTTATATTGAAGTGTGTAGTTTTCACTGTTAGTTTTAAAAGAGCTCTTTATATGTTTTTATTTTATTTTTAAAATTGATTCTTAGAGGGAGGGAGAGAGGAACGTTGGTTTGTTGTTCCACTTATTTATGCATTCGTTGGTTGAGTCTTATATGTGCTCTGACTGGGGCTCAAACTCACCACCTTGGCGTATTGGGACGACGCTCTAACCAACTGAGCTACCTGGCCAGAGCTGAGCTCTTTATATGTTAAGGCTATTATTCTTTGTCTTATAATTTGTAAACATTTTTCTAGTTTTTCATTTTAATTTTTTAGGTTTTCATTTTCTTTTTCCAAACAGATGTTTTAAAGTTTTTGTAGTTGAATCTGTCACCCTTTGTATTTTCAGCTTTTTCTTTTATGCTTCGAAAGGCTTTTCCCATTCTGAAGTCAGGTAAATAGTCACTTCTATTTTTTTCTAGTACATTATGATTTTTATTTTTTCATATTTTATCCTTCATCCATCATCCAGACAAATTTATTTTTTGTGCACAGTGTGATTAGGGATCTATTTAAGTTTTCCCAAATAGTTAACTGATAGCTTTATTATTGCTTATTGAATAATCCATCTATTTCCCCTTTGATTTGATTTGGTACCTTCAGCATATATTAAAAACATATGTATACTTGGGCCTGTTTATGGATTTTCCATTTCATTTGTTGTTTTAAAATCACTCTGTCTTAGCTATTGTAACATTATAAATGTTTTAATCTCTGACAGTTCAAGTTTCTCTTCTTTTCAAAATCTTCCTTCTTTTCTTTGCATGTATGTATGACATCATCATATGAACTAAATTATTTTGTCAAGTTCTCCCCTCTTTCTACTTTTTTCCCTTCAAATCCCTTGAGGTTTTATTAGAATCCTATCATTTAAAATGTTCTTTTATGGAGAATTTTCATGCTGATTCTTTGTATCCAGGAACACAGATGTCTCTAAATTCATTCAAATCATTTTGAAGTTATCTTTAGATAGACTCTTTTAATTTTAAAAGTAATTTTGCTATTATTTTTAATGGTATCTTTTCCTATTAGGTCTTCTAACCTGCTGTTTTTAGCATACAACTATTAGTTTCTGCATTTTCTTTTATATTCTGTCAGTTGCTGAATTCTTAATATAGGTTTAAATAGTTTCTTTTGACTTTTCTTGGGAGATATTTATGTGGTTTCTAAGACTGATAATTTTGCTCATCTTATTAGATAATTATACTTCTTTTTCTTGTGAGTTGCTTTGTGTACACTTTCCCGTTTTAGTGGTGATGGAGCGGGTGTATGGCCGTGTCTAATCACCGTGCTTCCAGTGGCTCTCCTCTGGGTGTAAGGCTGCGTGTTAGTAACCTGTCTTCTTGGTTCATTAATCATTGTTGTTTTTCCTTTAAAAATCAGGAAAGGGGTTGAATTTTTAGCAAAATATCTTTTAAGCAACCATTGGGATAATTATATGATTTTTCTTCCTTCCATTTATTTTATTAATTTTCTAATAGTAACAATTTTAGAATTTCTAGAAAACACCTAATTGCTCATGCTAGATTATTTCTTGAAAG